GGTAAACAGAGTGAGAGTGAATGAGGAAGAACTATGCAAAGGCCAAAACGGGAAGCGCAATTTACACTTAGAGGAATATTTTAACAGAAATTGTAAAAATATATTAAAAATACGTATAAATGCTACCACTGTAAGATGTATATTGAGTATGAGTAAGGTATCATTTCGTCATATCACATATCGCTCTTAAAAAAGATTTCTAAAGAGTTTTCAATATTTGCAAGCTGAGACGAAGTTCTACAAGAAAAAGCTTTGAGTATTAACATGGCTTTAATACAAATTCAAATATATTTTATAATTTTCTGGGTATATTTATGATGCACTTAAATTTTTTGACTGCATTTAAGAAGCGAGGCCTGCCAACGGATTCTCCAAAGAGTCCGTCTTCTCTGCGTCTCGTTTCGCTTTCCGTGTTGGCGCTGCTTTTATTTGCAAGTCCAAGCTTTTTCATGGCTCGCGGTGCGTTCCGCTAAACAAAAGGCACCAACCATCGCCCACTGAAGAACACCCACTTGCCGCAACCCACCGAAAAGAAGCCACCTCCTCCAGCAGTTACTGCCTGTTTTCCTCAACTCAGGCCCAGCATTTGTGAGCTGAGCCGCTTTTGTTTGCAACTTTTCGTTTTGTTGTCGGCGCAGCTAATTAAAAGAATGTTGAAAAAGTGTAATATGTAAGCAAATTTGCTGCCGAGCCACATAAATAATCCCGATTATTCTACCTGGCCCACCGCAGTACCTGCAGTATTTTATTTTGGATCCTTTAGCGTTTTGTTTATTTCGTCCCGGTTCGCATAAAATTTAGACGAACATTCATGGGCATTAAAGTCACGAGGTGCTCTTTGTAAATACTAAGTTGACCAGGGACACTGGGTCACTGGCCATGGAAATATGAATACCAGTCGGTGGTGGAAACCTGGGAGGGAGTAAAATTGAGACAAACAAGAGAGAGAGAGAGAAAGAGAGGGGGAAGGCAAACGACCCTGACTGGAGGCTAGACCTATGAAAATGGCGCAATTAGCTGCACAACTTGGCCAAAAACGAAAGATTAATGACAGCCCAACGGTGTTTTTTTTTTTTCTTTACTTTGCCAAGTCTTTTCAGTTGTCGCTGCCTTATTGACTTAGACCCGGAGCCAATCGGCCCGTCGTGTCAATAAAACGTTCGCTGTGTACATAAAAATAATAAATGACGTCGCCGATGGGTCCATCAACTTGGCTCCTAAGTTGGCCAGCTGAAAAAGTGCAAGTAATTAGACGCATAAATTTTATGACAACTTAGCCCTGAAACTTTGGCTTTATACTAACAAGCTGAAGAGAGAGAGAGAGAATGAGAGATTTAGTGCTACTGCCAAGCGATTTGCCTGCCAACTATGCACTTCCTGTAGGCTTATGGCCATGTAGGCTACGAATTTCCTGAATGTTAGACCAATTGGGGCGAACATAACACACCGTGCTATGTGTGTGGGATCGGGCGTTCTGTTGAGTTTCGGGCATTGCCGGCACATGTTGCCCAAGTCATGCTGCTATGCTGGTTAATTACCAGGCTAATGCCGCTCAGAAATCCTTTTGGGCCATTCGTTTAAATGCGTCAAGAGATTAAAACTTTAAATGGTTCGACAATAAACAGGAGTGGTGGAGGAGTGGCGAAGCCAAAAGGTTGGCAATTAATTTAATTTTGTTGCGCATTTAACGCCAAGCGATTGCCATTTCATTTAACGCCAAAATGCGGATTGATCCGACGCACTTATTTCCGCACAAAGCCATGATAATATTTCTATAATATTTCTTCGCGATTTCGTGAGATGCGAGAGAGCTGGATATAAATAATTGGCGCTGACAGCTTGATAAATGGCTTTTCAGCCGAGTTAATGAAACTAAAACACGGCAAACGAGCAGCCATGGCAGCCAGCTCTGTAGCGAGTTTTTAAATTAAGATAATGCAACAGACGGGGCCTCGGTGCGTATGAGTAGCGCAATTTCCTGCTCGGCTGCCGTTTACCATTTGTTTTTTCCCTCCTTATTATTTTCTGGCTCCCATAGCATGTGCATGTGAAAATCTCTTAGCTACAATTTTGCCAGCTAATGCGAATGATAAGCGAGCATAATATATTTGCTGCCATTAGTGTGCTGCATTTGAGCATTCCTCAAAATGTGGCATTAGCCGCCCTGCCACATTTTTCGGGGACCTTTCTCCGCAAAGCACACAGCATTCTCTGTGAATTTTGGACCGTGACAAAGCGCAGCGTGCTACTGAGTGCTCAATTTATGGCCCGCACCCTCCTCTTCGCTGTTTGCCACATTTTCCCACGGCCCACAAATCCGATTTCATTATGGAAAACGTGCGGCGAATTAAAAGTAGATTTAGCGCAGTTACAACAAAGGACTAGAGGCGAGTGCCAGGACAAATCTCAATGCAGTTCCATTCAGTTGTAGCCCAGGATTCTAGTCGCCTTCCATTAAGGAACACTGCAATCGGCAGAGTCTGTGATGCATGAAGAGCCGGGATGCGAAATTGCAGCGACAGCAACTGCAGTTCCAGTTCTGATATATGTGCATATAATTTAAGGTATGCGCATTTGGAGTTTGTGTCTCATCCATGGCGAAGATGAACTAAAAATGTAGAACGAACTGCAAGTCTCTGAGTTGTAATGTAGAGAATATCAAATAACAAAACGAGATTAAATATTCAATATGGTACTGTTTTCAAAAAGTTGTTAGAACGGTGTCTCAACGGTGGAGTAGAATATTAAACACTCATTTATGACAAGCCACAGTAAAACACAGATCAAGTTGTTATAGAAAATATCAAAAATCATAGAATAAAAAAATCAATTATATTATTCTATATTAATTAATCATAATATTTCTAACATGATCAACAGATCCCTAACTATAGGACTATTTAAACGATGGTTCCCAACCTTTACCTCCATTTCTTGCATAACTACGTGGATATCAGGACTCTGCCCATCGCTGGCAATCCTAGACCGGCACCTTCGTAGGCAGTTAACATAATCAGAGCTTGACAAGCAATCTTCTGCCATGCATTGAAGATGAGTGCCCGATGTCGAGTTGTTGCTGCTGTCGCTTGTTGTTTCCGGAATTTGTCACTCTACAAGGTGCGTGGGTGCATGGACGGATGTACGAACATTCTCGTATGTTTGTAAGTTTGTAGATGGATGTGCCTTGGCTTGTTTGTCAGGCAACGGCCTTTTCGGATTTATTATGTTGATGCCAAGGCGCTGAGATGCTGATGTGTGCTGCGTGTAATTTGAAATTATGCGCGGCAGCGCCAAGACGTATGCTTAACATAATCAAATAACTCATACGCAACGTGTACGCTTGATGAACAAGTCGATGGGTTTGCTTTATAAAGCAAAGCTACCAAGGCGAACAACTTCCAGCATCTCTCTCGACTTTTTCATTATCATAATTTCTAGCTGATTTCATTGAGCAGCCAGGATGAGCAGCTAAAGCAGGAGCAACAGAAGCAGTAACAACCTGTTTGCCCGATTGATACGCTCAAGTTCGCTTTTCAATTATGTGCCCAGCAGACGTGACTATCGCGCATAATGTGTCTGATATGTGTGTTGGCTGTTGGCTGTTGACTGCTGTTGTTGTGCCTCCTTTTGCCTTTCTTTAATGCCCGCACACCTTTTGCAGGTGGATGGCTTCATTACGCTTTTATTGGCCCCCATACCTTTTCCTTTTGCTCTGAGAAGTGTTTAAAGGCGGACCCAACGGCCAACATTTGCCAAGAAAATACAGGGGCCCGTATGTGGGTTAAAACGAAAATGTAAACAAAAGGCAGGTTCGCGCAAACCTGTCCAGCGAATCTGGCCAGCAGCAACCCTTCGCAACATATGCACGAAACAAGGGGCTCTTAGAAGGGAGCAAAAGGGATTTACTCTTCTACCCCCTACACACTCTCTGCCCAAACAATGGCAAAACGTGAAAAGTGCTGCCACAGAAATAAGTTTCGGTTTTTGGTTTAGGCCACTGGGACAAAGGCAAACAAAGCACAACAGAGCGCAACACATTGGGGAATGTTTTGGGAAAGTGGAACAACGAATATGACCGGAGAGAATTTCCTTTTAAAAGATTTGGAGAGCGGGAAAGCATTGAATTTTCCCACTGAACATGCACTTGTGGAACGTAGTGTGTGCAAGTGGCAACAAGCGGTGGCTAAACAAGTGGACTACGATATCGCAATTGAATTGTTTAATTTAGATAATTAAGTTATCGTTTAGATCAAGATCAACTTGAGTATTGTTCATGTTTTACCTATAACATTACCTAAAATTAAAATAAAAAATAAAAAATGTTCAAAATCAATGACAAGTATTAAAGTTTTCTTTTTCTTATGGAAAAGAACTGTTTAATATTTATCAATATAAAAATAAAGGTTTTATTATTAGATTTTTCTTAGTTTTCCGATTTTTAAGCATAATAAGTAATGTTATAATATCTTAAACCATTTGCTTCTAGTTCTTTCTGCTGCATAGTGTCTTTCTTAACAAAGAATGATATAATGATATTGACCACCATAAAAAAAGTACAAGATAAATATTCACATTTTATAATTGCTGTTTTTTTCATATTTGCCTGCTTTGTTATTTATTCGAGGACAATTTTGTTTTGCCATTTGTTTACATAGCCAGAAATTTAATCTGTTGACACCGCAACACTTGCCAATGGAATAGGTAAACAAAGGCGACCACTGCAAATGCGGGACACTCAAGATGAGCATTTCAAATGAGCCGCACGCCACATGGAACACACGGCACCCACAACTTGGATACTTTTGAATCTGAAAGAGCATCGGAAAATCAGAGAGTGTGAGAGACAGAGAGAGAAATCAGAGAGAATTTCCCTTGGTGGAAAACCGACAACAAACGAACGAACATTGCCGCACACGAACGAAGCACTGACAATTGTGGACGGCAAATTTGGTAGCAAGCTGGGGCAAGCCGTGATGAAAATGCTAGCGGATGGCGTTCAGTTAGGATGTGCAGTTCCAGCGGTGCGAACGTGTTCCGGGCGCGCCAATTGGCCAAGTAGCCGTCTTAAAGCCAATAGAGCTAACCCAAAATTTATAGCCAGAACGGCAACAGTTTCTCACTACAACAATAGCGCCAAAATATGCCAACGCCTGATTGAAGGCGCCGAAATCGCGGGTCGCGCGTTTTTGTGTAAATAAACAGAAATCCGAATAGATCTCAGAAGTCAAGAAACCAAAACGAAATTCAAGCAGAACCAAAGAAAAAAAAAGAAGAATTCATCTATCAGAGATCTACACATTTTATTTTTCGGTTTCAGTGGCTAGAGCACAAGTTATTCAATTAATAAACATAAATGCCAGCGTGCGGAATGTCTGACTGATGAGTTGGCTAGAAGCGGACCCGTAACGCATACGCCATGTGAGCCGGATCGATGGGATCGTGTTCCGGCCAAGCCACAATGCCATCCTCCTGTAAATAGCCAGCAGCCTTTTCTACTCGCGTCTCTGTCATATGTGTCCGTGAATATCCGCCACTGTACATACTCTAGACACTAATTGATTAAACCACAAACCTAAAAAAAACCAAACAAACAAAGCAAAAAACATAAAATAAATAAATAGAGGAAAAAGCGCGCGTTTTCGCATAAAGAACGCGCCGCACACACAAGTTTCGGTGCAAAACGGGTATAAATAAACGAAATAATAATATTCGAATACTCTATGCTATAGAGATTAGTTAAATTATTAGTATTAAATCGGTTTTGGAATTTCGCGCGCAATAAGATTTAATTATAAACAGGGGCAGCATGGGACCAATCAGACTCTAGAGCTAGCCACGCATCCACAGAGTTAGTTTAGACGAATCAGCAGATCACAATGGATTATAGCCGGCTGAATGCTAACATCAATACGGGCAACATCAGCACCGATGACTTTCTGGCCGTATTCACGACGGCCAAACCGGATAATGCCACTCTCAATCCGCCCCTGCTCAGTGTCGACGGGCAGTTGACCCTGCCACCGGGATCGGGTTATATCAACCTTAACGATACGATATTCTTTCTGAATGGCAGCTTTTATAATAGCAGCCTTCAGCTGGCGGCGGGTTATTATAATCAAAGTAATTCCTCGGCAGCATCATCCGGCAATTTGACCAATCCAAATCAAACAGAAGTCCACTGGGATGGCCGATATCCCAGTGGTTATACGCTCACACACATCGTGATCGCCTCCATAATAGTGACCATCTTAATGATTATCATTGTGGTGGGCAATATGCTGGTGATCATAGCCATAGCCACGGAAAAGTCACTGAAGAATATACAGAATTGGTTCATTGCCTCGCTGGCGGTGGCCGATTTCTTTCTGGGCCTCATCATTATGCCTTTTTCACTGGCCAACGAGCTAATGGGCTATTGGATCTTTGGCAGCTGGTGGTGTGACATCCATTCGGCGATGGACGTCCTTCTATGCACCGCCTCTATCATGAACCTGTGCCTCATCTCACTGGATCGGTATTGGAGCATAACGAAGGCCGTTGACTATCTAAAGTCAAGGACGCCGGCGAGAGCCGCTGTTATGATCACGGCGGTCTGGATAATGTCCGCCCTCATCTGCATACCGCCGCTTCTCGGTTGGAAGGTGAAAATGCCTGAGGGACCGCTGCCCAAGTGCGAGGTAAGTGCTCCTAAGTGCCGCAATAATCCACATCCCAAGCGAAATTGACGCCAATTGACGGCAATTGACGTTGCCACGCCGACAATCGAACAATGGAAATACACGCGAGTTGCGGGATTGAAAAGCATCATGTGTGCTGCTAGATTGGCTATTTTCAGGTTGATTTGTATAGAATAGTGGGATTTTTTTAAAATTTATTTCTATCAGGACTACGATTTTTAGGAAGTATTTCTAACTTTTATGAAACGCTTATGTGAAAAAGTGTATACAAACTTGTTGTTAAACTATTTTTGGTTTTACAAAACGTGAATATAAACGAATTTCGAAAGCAAGTAAATTCAGATTTATATAAACGAATAAAACAATTAACAGTTCTATTATTATTGTTTACAGCTCACTTGTTAATAATTCTGGTAATTTTTCAAGCCATAAAACTATCAACATTTCAGGAATAGAAACATAGAATTTGCTGTGTCATGTTAGCTTACAATTTTATTTTCTAAGAAAAACCATTGAGTAAAATCAATATCATATATGATTTTATGAAGTAGATCAACAGCAAATAGACAAAAATATCCAAATAATTAGTCGATCATTGCAATTCCTCTATACGTATATATTCACAAATTGGCAAAAAGTTTTTATATCGTAATATCTTAGTAATTCACGGACGCTATTTTTAGCAATCGTTCCATGCCTAATTTAGCCACTTTTTGCACGTCAATAGATGCCATCGCTGCTGAGTATTCATATTTGCAAACAATAAAGCGTTGAATGGCTAAAATGCTGGCAAATGCTCAAATAGCAACATGCAAAGCGCAAAATTGCGGCCTCTTTCTATGCAAATTTGCGAGTTGCCAGCACAATTGTCAGATGATTTGGCGGTTCCTTGGTGGGTATTCCCGCAACCCAAAAGCCCACCCAACTTATCCCATCCCTCGATTCTTGGGTCACGCAGAGAATAAACGCAGAAATATTTATGCATATGAGTGGTGGCTATATTCTGAGTGTGTCTAATTCCACCAGCTAGGAAACTCCCCGACTGTCTAATACAGTCGGAGAAAGCTCCAAGCAAGCCCCAAAAAGTAGGCTATAAGCCATAGAAATATGCGCATTATCATGCGGGTCTGCCAGTTGCTGAATTTGAATTTCTGTGGGGCACAAGCCCCCAAAAGTAAAGAGGGTGTGTGTGTGTGTGTTAGGGGGAAAAGCGTAACAAACTAGCTGGAAAATTCACAAGAGAAATTCTTGGGCCAAGGCAAGACAACACATCAGTAGCTGCCACAAACTGCTGCTGTTGCCCTGTTTTTCGGGAAAATTCTTTAAATTTTGCCACAAATTGAAAACGTCCTTCAAAAGGGAATCGATGCAGTCACTCACCGAGTGAAACATTCAATCACAGTGACGGACTGACTGGCTGACTGACCCCTTCCGATAGCTATTGGCACACAGTTCGCCTTCTGGCTCCCCAGAGGAATTCCAGCTTTAAATGGCCATTTTGCGCAACTCAACTCAATGCCAACAGTTGGAAACAATTTAAATCGTTTAAAAACTTAACACAGTCTCTGATCAAAACCAAAAACGAAAAATATGCAGTGGATAAAATGGTCAACGGTGGGTTAAACCACAATATTATTTATTGCAATCATGATAAATGCGGACCGAAATGGAAAAATGCAAATATCCCAGGCCATTCCCCTCCACAATATCGTTTCTATCTGTATCTCGTCTGTCTCCAGAATTTTTGATTAATTTTTTTTTTCGTATTTTTTTCCCTCCACCACTAACACACACTCATTGTGGACAGTAAATAAAACAGAACGAAGAAAAAAACAGTAGCAGAATATAATAATAGAGTGGAAAGCGAAAGCAGAATGAAATAAAGTATCCTAATATAGAAGAATGCTTACGTAAAGTTTGCCATTCAAATTAACCTTGAGACAATAAAGGCAGAATTGAGGACCAGAGGAGGGAGCACATTTTTATTTACGATGGCCAGCGTCCAGTTTTGCCGGCAAATGCTGGCACATTAATCAAGCCTAAGTGGCCCGGATAAAGTTTCCAGCTCTGGCCAATGAGCAAACATGTTTTTAGCGAATTTTAAGCAGTCTTAACAACACAGAATGACAATTTATAATGGCAAAAGTTTTCTACTTAAGGACATGAGTTTGTGTGTCTGACACACGCTCAAAGGCATCGATTACTCGCTTTTGCCTCCTCAATCATTATCTCGGGACACTCAAATCAGCTTGGTGGCATTTTAGCCAACAAATGTCACAGCAACCGGGAGAAGCCGCTAAACGAATCAGCCAACTACAAACTACAAGGTGCACGGAGAAAAATACTAAACTAAAATCCTATTTCTTACTTAGTCATTTTCTATAGAGACCACATTTAATAATACAATTTTTCAATAAAAATATAATATTTCTATTAAGTAAAAAAAAAACATGGTAACTTCCACTTTTACCCGTGGATAACCAGTTAAAATCTATTTTTTGCTGTGTAATGCCAGTAACGAGACATAGGTTCAGCTCTGCCCAATCATTAAACATGTCTCCCGGCGAATTTTTTGGAAAGGAAATGCCTGTCGGCATTGGCCTTGTCCCTGGGTTGGCATGTAAAACCTCCAATTTGCTGGCCCAACAGGCGGATGAGGAGGAGCAGCAGAGAAGCAGGCGGCGGCCCGACGAGGAGCGGAGTGTTGTGGCATGGCCTGGTGAACATTTTAATTATGACACCATGTTGACATGTACAAAATTGTTGTTCGCCGCCGTCGTCATCGTCGCACATTGAACCGCAATACAAGCCGCAGGGAGAGGGAGGTGGCGTAAAAAGGGGGTTTTGTTTGTTGGTGGAGGCGCTGATTTGACACTTGCCTGCTCGATTTAATTAATAAAATGACATTTTAGAGAGCGCGATGACGCTGATTTCGAGCCACTCGAGATTGTCTCGACATTGAACTATTTTTGGGTTTTTGTTTTCACTCTCTGAGGGGGAAATATTTTGACGGGCGCATTTAATTGACATCATCTGGCGGAGGCGGAGACGGTGAAAGTGTGTGTGTTCCCTGATTAATGCTGAGCCTAATGAGGTATATCCTAATATGCGTGGGCTTGTTATTTTTGGACGGATAATATAGAGCCCCATGGTGAGGGCCAAAATCAGCTGGCATTGTTCGTCTTTCACGTAATGGCTGCAATTTCGCCCAGCAAGTGCCTTCAATCTCTGGGGGAGCGGATTGGGTGGCCAACAAATCTACAAATAAACATACAAAAGGCCGCTTATTGAATGGAGTGGTTGCTATCCAGAGAAGAAATTCTAATTCCATGGAACTACATTATTCACTGCCCTCTTCCTCCATCCAACTGGCTTGGCAAACTCAAGCAGCCCGGCCATTGTGTCCTTTGTGTGCGTCGGGTGCAGTGCCAAAGGGTCGCACAATGGACCTTATTATAATCCGTAAAGGGGCAAACACTTTATTGAAATATTAATCGAATATTATATACCATTTTACGGAACATCCACAAAAGCCAGCCGTCACACAATGGCGCAACAAATGGCCAGGATCAAAAGTTAGGCTCAATCGGCTTTTGGCCCTTGAGGAAATATATCCCACCTTCCATCTAAGCAATCTCAGTGAAAGTTTTGAGTAGTTAAGACAAAAACCTAGAACTTGGGTTGGAAGGGTTGTTAAGTAGACTCAAATTACGGGCCAACAGTGCGTGTGTGTAATGTAATGTGTAATGCGATGATATGCGGCAGCGCAATAACGACTTAAGTCATTGCCTAAGTAGCTCATTAGCGTCAGTTTTATGTTTTTTTTCCCAGTTGCTTTTTTGTGCCAGCACTTTAAAGGAAATTAAGAGAAGATGGTTGGCAGGGTATGGAAAACCCTCGACCAGAATAATGGCTTTCTTCAACCTCAATGTCGTGGCCAGCGGCAGTCAGGCTGCAAGGGCTTTAAGTTGACATTGAGCCTGGGTCCCGAGATGGCCAAGTCCAAGTCCAAGTCCAAGTCGAAAGTCTGTGTGCGTGAGCCTGGGCACTTTTGATATTTTCTCATTATTCCGTACATGTGCATGTTGAGGCTGTAATTCTCGTTAGGTCTTTGTTACATTTCATACACTTGACTTGCTTGCTCGGCTCGAAGACTGTTTGTTGTTTCTGTACTTACATTTTGCCATCCTAGATGCGCATGTGTGCGAGTGTAGCCCTTTATGTTGGCTAAAGTATTTTACATTTTTTTTTCGTTTCATTTTTTTTCTACACTTTGGCAGCATTTTCATGCAAAAGCTGGCAAAGAAATGCCAGGGCTCGCCGTACAACAAAAAAAAAAAGGTTCAACAGCAGTGAGCTAATGGGCTTAGTCCTTGAGATACTTTCTACTGCCTAGGGTTTTGGGCATGCTTGTGTATCTGGCCCTGCACTTGGGGAAAAAACGAAAGTATTTGCTAGTTAGTAAAGTTTTTATTTAACAGTTTTATAGGATTGTGTACTTTTAAACTGGCTTAAATTTTACTCCCTTTCAGCTCCAATCAGAGAGTTCTGTTTGACTGCTGAATAATGTATCTATATGTATTGCCAAAGGCTTTAAATTTATTACAAGTTGCAGAAAAAATCATATTTTATGTTGAACTTGTTAATTATTCATGATTTGTAATCGAATTGCAATTCCAGTTTTATTTCTTTTTTATTCAGTAGATAAATAAAATGGGTAAACAAAACATATACTAATACTGATTACAACTCTTTTGATTCTTATTTTAATCGATTTCAAAGGTCATAGATTTTCTCCCACTGCATTGTGTAGGTTAGTGTGTTTACTATGTGCCCCAGACCACGTTTCCACATCGTTGGAAAAGTTCACTTTTCTCGGCCATTACGGTTTGAAACGGCTTTTAAGATCATAATCAGTGGCATTTATTTTGCGAACAGCAGCCAGGAGCTTTCATTTTTTGGTAGCGGAGACAGCAACATTTACGCATTGAACTGCGTTA